AAAAAAAAAAAAAAAAGAGTCAGATGCTTAACCAACTGAGTCATCCAGGCTTTTAAAAATTAAAAAAAAAATTTTTTTCCTGCGTATTTATATATGCCTACACACACACACACACACACACACACACACACACACACACCCCTACTGATTTCTCATAAAAGGCATATTAGATATATTATTCTTACTTTTTCCACTTGACAAATCTTAGATTTTCTTGTCCATTTATTTAAACAATTTTCATTCTTTTTAGTGGCTGCATAAAATTCCAAAGTATGAGTGGACCGTGATTTATGTTGATAAACTAGGCTATTTCCAATTATCCCAACTACAAACAATGCTGCAATGTATATCCTTATACAGATTTCTTCATTCAGGTATTATTGGAGAATAGATCCCTGGAAAAAGAATTTCTAGGTAAAGAGGTATATACTTTAAAAAATATGATAAATGCTGCTAAATAGCCATCCAAGAAGAATCGATAATTTATACTCTCTCTGCACTCTTTCCATCCATAGTTGTTACATACATTTTTTCATTTTTACAATCTATATCTCATGCTTTTAGAATTTTGCATTTCCCTGATTACTAATGAAGTTAAACATCTTTTCACATTTATTGGCCATTTCCATGTGTTTTTCTATAAACTGTTATCATATCCTTTGCCCATTTCCTATTTGTTTTTACCATTTTATTATTGGTTATAGGAATTATTTATATATTATGGTGAATCCTTTGTCATATATGTGGCAAACAGGTAAACAGGTTCATGGAGAAATTCTAAATTCCTTGTGGTTTACCTCGCACTTGCCTTGACCAGCCTTAGGAATTTTTGTGGTGCTGGGACTGCAGGCTTGAAGAACATTCATCCCACTGATGTATGACTGGTTCAAATGTTATTCATTTTCCATGTTCCTCTGCCATTACTTTAGAAATTCAGAAGGTTCTGAACCTAGAATAAGTATGGGAAGTAAAACAAAATTTTAGTATATAGGGAGCAATTTTGAGGTAAGAAATTATGAGGGAATGCAGTTTTGAATCTGTATGTGAACAATGGAAATGGCTGGGGAAATGCAGCTTTCAGGAATTAGTGGCTGGAGAAAATTAAAACTGTTAGGACTTTTGCATTAAGGAAACATCTAGTGCATACTACCTATAATCCTGCTTTGTGCACTCCTATCTCAGCATTCTTTTTCAAAGGTGTTTTAATTAGTGATGAAGTATGCTTCAGCTGCTAAAATCCATAACTTGGAGATGAGCTCAAAATAGAACACAGTCCCTTAAGGGCGACTTTTAAAATACATTGGGAGTGTAATGGGTGACTTTTGCTATCAGCCACATATTGTACCAACAGGGCTCTTTACTGAAATGTCCGCAATCCCTCTAGACAGAGAACCATAAAACGAGTGAGTGGTTTAATTTGGAGTGATGATCTCCCAAATCAAAGAAAATGACGATAAAATTCCCTACGTTGAAAGTACCATTTACATTTCCCTTCCGTGCCTTGAGGTTAAACCATCACTCTGCCCCTTTGTCTCTGCCTTTGCATTTGGTCTCTGACTCAGTGCCATATGTATATCTAAATACTGAAGAAGACAGGGGCACCTGCGTGGCTCAGCTGGTTAAGTGTATGAGTCTTGATTTTGGCTCAGGTCATGATCTCACGGTTCCTGAGTTCCAGCCCCGCATCGAGCTCTGTGCTGGCGGTGTGGAGCCTGCTTGGGATTCTCTCACTCTCCCTCTCTCTCTGCCCCTCCCCTGCTCGCGTTCTCTCCCCCTCTCTCAAAATAAATAAATAAACTTTAAAATAAATAAATGACAAAGAAGACAAATTTGATAGCCACGTATTATAGTCAAAACACGGTCTTATCCCATCTCTTCTTTAGACTGCTAAAGTTGCTGCCTCTGACTGGACATTTTTACACTGCTTGCCCAGAAAGCCAGAAGAAGTGGATGATGAAGTGTTTTATTCTCCACGATCACTAGTATTCCCAGAGGCTGAAAACAGGAAGTGGACAATCATGGTAAGCAAGCAATAGGGAACAGAAGCTAAGAAGGGGTTCTCTGTGCGGCCCTAACTTGGTCATTCATGCCTTTTGGTAAGTAATTTGCAACCAAGATTATCCACCTACCTGACTTGCTCATATGGCATCTATTTTTTTTCCCCAGGAAGTTCATAATAGATTATTATTGCTTATTAGCATTTATATTGCATTTTTAATGGTGTACAATTGATCTCCTTCCAAACAGATTTTAATAAAAATTCTGACTGCTCTTGATCAGCCTGAACACCAGCCACCATTGCCTGCCAATCATTATACTGTATAATTCTTATTTTACAATCCCCTTCTTAATGTTTACAGAAGCGTCTAATTCAGTCCCTGGCACAAAATGGGCATTCAAAGAAATCTTATTTCCTTCCTCTTCTCTTTCTTCCTTTCATGAGTTACCTAGATAATTGTTTTGGTTCTCTACTTGACTTGGCCACATGGATATATTTGTTTTAGGTATTGAACTTTTCTAGAATTGCAACAAAACTAATCTTAGAAAACACTGGTCCCTTTAACAGAAGTTTCATCTTCATTACTGCTATTCAAGGAAATATTAACCCCAAATCTCTGCATTACAATACTGTAAACTTCACCTTCTTCTCTGGAAAACTGATCTCAATTACTGGGGTCTCACTGGCAAATAGAGTCCACTTTAGGAAAGATAAAACGGTAATACAGGAATTTATTAAAAGACATTTAGCAGTGCCCAGAAGCTCTGGGGAAAGAAGGTGCAGTGAATCGTTCTCAGATACCACATATTCAGAAACAACACAGGCAAGACAACTGCCCAGCAACATTGTGGTTTTTTAGTAGCTAACCACCACTGACACAGCCACCCCAAAGCGGGGCACCTAAGGGCCCTGAAACGAAATGCCAAACACTCCATTATAGCCTCCCCAGCTGAACCAGATACCCCCACCTGCATACAGAGCAGAAGATCCAATGTCCCAGAGGATGGCTTCCATTGCACATTGCACCCTTATGGCTCTAAGACTTGAGTAGATACAGTTGGGTGGCATGCCTGCACCTTAGTTTCTGGGAAAGGTAGTTTTTATTTTTTTTTTATTTTTTATTTTTTTCAATATATGAAGTTTATTGTCAAATTGGTTTCCATACAACACCCAGTGCTCATCCCAAAAGGTGCCCTCTGCAATACCCATCACCCACCCTCCCCTTCCTCTCACCCCCCATCAACCCTCAGTTTGTTCTCAGTTTTTAAGAGTCTCTTATGCTTTGGCTCTCTCCCACTCTAACCTCTTTTTTTTTTTTCCTTCCCCTCCCCCATGGGTTTCTGTTAAGCTTCTCAGGATCCACATAAGAGTGAAACCATAGGGTGTCTGTCTTTCTCTGTATGGCTTATTTCACTTAGCATCACACTCTCCAGTTCCATCCACGTTGCTACAAAGGGCCATTGGGAAATGTAGTTTTTAGCCTTTAACCTCTGGAGTAGAGAAAAACAGGCTGGAAAAGACTACCCGGTAATTTTTTAACTGATCTATCGATGGGAATAAATAGGGTTATTGTGAGCATTAAAATAATACCTGTAAAGCATTTAGTATCATATCTAATACACTATAAATTTATTATAATTATTATCGTCAACATCATCCTCATTGTTGACCTAATACAGTGACCAGCAGAGATTCGAGCTCCACTGTGGCTGCTTAAAAGCCAATTATGACTCCCTTTGCAATGGAAAGTTATGGATCAGGCCTAAATTGGTCATATCTAATAAGAGGGATGGTTTTTTTTTTTACTGTACCTTCCAGTTTGCCACCTCAGGACACTAGCTTTGGCCAAAATGGCAATTGCTATGTAATCTAGACCAGTGCTTTTAAAGCTTTAATATCTATTTGAATCACCTAGGGATCTCGTTAAAGTGCAGATTCAGATTCAGCCAGCCCGAGATGGGGCCCAAGATTCAGCATTCCTAACAAGCACCAAGGTCATGCAGATGCTGCTGTCCTGGGGCCCACATTTCAAGTAGCAAAGAACTACACAAAAGAAAATATGAGCTCTCCAACCGTACACGTCAGGAAGAGACATGGCAAGAAATGTTTTCCAAGCTCTAGTCTTTCTCAGAAGATGATTGAAGTTACAAAGATAAATCAACGTAAATCTGTTAAAATATGACCTCTGTAGAAATTCAGTGGGGAAAAAAAAACTAAAAGAAAGGCTTCTAAAATATCATTTATGGAGATGCTCTGCACTTCTGCATTTTTGAAGAGCTTATTAAAACGCATCTTGAAATTGAATTCACTTTAAAGCTTTTGTTTAAAAATTTTTAATGTTTATTTGTTTTTGAGAGAGATTGAGAGACAGAACATGAGTAGGGGAAGAGCAGAGAGAGAGGGAGACGCAGAATCCGAAGCAGGATCCAGGCTCCGAGCTGTCAGCACAGAGCCCAACATGGGGCTCAAACTCTCGAACCGTGAGATCATGACCTGAGCTGAAGTCAGATGCTTAACCAACAGAGCCACCCAGGCGCCCCTAAATTGAATTTACTTAAAAAAAATTAAATACATCTGTATTCACATGGTTGAAATGCTTACAAGGACATACACACACACACACACACACACACACACACAAAGTGAAATCTCATGCCTACCTATTTTTTTCCATCCATCTAAGTGCTACCACCATCTCTCCATATCCCACCTTCCTGAAGTGCCACTATCATTAGGGGAAAATAAATTTTATTTTATTTTTTTTAAATATAGTTTATTGTCAAATTGGTTTCCATACAACACCCAGTGCTCATCCCAACAAGTGCCCTCCTCAATGCCCATCACCTGCTGGGAAAATACATTTTAAAGCAAACAAGAGGCATAGCCATGTTAAAATGAACACAGAGCATCTAAAATAGAAAGAATACTCACCTGGGAGTGAGGAGACTTGCACCCTGGCTGCATTCTTTATATACCACATACTTTATATACTTTATATAGTCTTTCATACTAGTCAGCTGTGCCAGCTTGGATAAGTATTACTTCTCTAGGTCATGGTTTCCTCACGTATGAGGTAAATAAATCAAGCTATACAGATGGCAACTGGTTTTTAATATTAGGTCCTTAATCTCACCAACAGGCTACTGGAGTCCTATGTTCAGAAGATTCTAAGCCTGCCTGTGGTCTCAGAAAGAAAGGGGCGTAACTGACTCGTGAAACTTGACACGGAATCTGGAGGGGAGGTAGTGATACACATGCTGCACTCTTCATGCCTCTGAACTAGATGATTGCGGGCCCCACTGAGTGAAGTTCATTTTGGCAATCATATACTGGACATCTATTGTGTGTGCCAGTCCCTCTGCTGCGCACTGGAGATTGTTTCAAAAATGAATAGTGGGCAGCCCCCACTCAGCCTGTATAGTTCATAGTAGTATGCCATGTTCAAGAGAGAGGAGATCCTAGAGATTGTCTAGTCTACATGCAAAGAAATTATTCTTAGATAGCTTATTTAGAATGGTGTTTGGGCTCAACACTGCTGAGATAGATTTCTCTGGGATGTTCTAAAGGCACAATACTTGTTTTCCTCTAGAACATCCATATCCTAAGCAGTAACTGCTAGGCACAGATGGCTATCTCAATTTAAATTTAAACTAATTACAATATAATACAATGTGGGTACCTGGGTGGCTCAGTCAGTTGAGCACCAGACTCTTAATTTTAGCTCAGGTCATGATCCCAGGGTTGTGAGAATGAACCCCATTTTGGGCTCCATGCTTAGCATGGAGCCTGCTTAAGATATTCTCTCTCTCTCTCTCTCTCTCTCTCTCTCTTCCTCCTCCTCTGCCCCTCTCCCCCTCTCTCTCGCTCTAAAAAATAAATAATAGGGTTGCCTGGGTGGCTAAGTCGGTTAAGCACCTGACTCTTGATTTCCGCTCAGGTTATGAGCTCATGGTTCAGTGAGTTCGAGCCCCGAGTCGGGCTCTTCATGCTGACTGTGCAGAGCCTGCTTGGGATTCCCTCTCTCTTACACTCTCTGCCCCTCCCCCACTTGTGCTCTTTCTGTCTCTCTCAAAATAAATAAACTTAAAACAATAAATAATAATAAAAATGTAAATATAAAAAATAAAAATAAAATATAATACAATGTAAGAGTCAATTCCTCAGACATACTAATCACATTTGTGCTCAATAGCCACACAGGGCTGGCGGCTACAATATCTGTATTTGACAGCACAGATATAGAACATTTCCATCATTGCAGAACATTCTGCTGGACAGGACTCCTGTCTAGATAATGATTTCCACACACAATTTCATTTAAAATCAGGATGGAAGAAGAAAGGAAAAGTACAATCTAGCCTCAAGTTCTAACATGTCCACAATGACTGATGGCAGGTACATAACTAAATAGTGGGGGGGGGGCTTGTCCTAAAAGCACACAGCATTTTTAAAGCAAATGCATACTCTTTCACTACTTACTTAGAGGAGCTTTTCAAGGTCCCCATGCTGGGTGATTTCCAGCCATGCTGTTCAGAACACTCCAGTAATCACATTGTTCTCTCCATAGTGCACAGGCCTTTGAATCCCTTTGTTTTGTTTTGTTTTTAAATACACCCCCTCCTTCCCACAAAGCTTTTGTATTTTGCAATAATTAGTAAGTCTGTAGGACTCATAAAACGTCAGGTAGCTTTCTTCCTCTGCCTACAGCTTTTACCGTGGAGCTAAAGTAACCTAAAGGGACTAGGCAACAGAGTTGATGCTTCAAAGCACTGCCATCAGGATGGTCCTTAGATGCACAACACCCTTGCAAATGTAGTTCACAGTATTTTAGTCCTTTATTTCCACGTTCAGGGTGCCAGATCAAATACAGGACACCCAGTTAAACTGGAGTTTTAGGTAAGCAACCAATAACTTTTTAGTATGGGTATATCCCGTGTAATATTTGGCACATACTTATAGTTTTAAAAAATGTTATTTTCTGAAATGCCTATTTAATAGTATTTATTTATTTATTTATTTAACCAAATCTGCCAACTCTACTCCAAGTTGACTTTCTAAAATTTGACATTTGAAAAGAAATTTGACATGGCAATGACCATTAACAATAAAACAAAACCTGAGATGTGATCCTAGAAAGCCATAGAAAAGTGTAAAATATTTTACCTGGAAGATGTTTTTATCCCAGGGTTTGGCCTTCCTAGTTTCTTCTTGTCATTCAGATCCCAATGTCATTCATTTTACAAGGCCTTTCCTGGCCACCCACTCTTAAGAGGTTCTCCAGCCTCTTTTATCCCATTTTTAATTTTATTTTCTAATGACATTTATCATGACTTGATATTTTCTTATTTGTTTGTTGCCTGTCCCCCTAATGAAAGTCCTTCATAAGAGCTTTTTTCTTATCTATATTCTTCATTATACCTACAATGGTGCCTGACAGCCTAAATATGTGTTCAATACATTTTTGTAGACTAAAGGCAGTACAGGGTATTGCTTCTAGAACAGACTTTGAAAATCAAATTAAAATTCTGGCTCTCTGTGTGACTTGGACAAGTACCACAACTTCTCTAAGTCCAGTTTATTCGTGTGGAAATGGAGATGAAAACAGACCTAATTGCATCACTCAGGAAAAACCTACACCTTCCTCATCTGTATTTTATATGTCTTACCACCTCATGCACTAGGGAAGGATATTAAATGGTATGATGCCAACATAAAGTACATAAAGTACAGGGCCTGACACATGGTAACTGCTCAATGAACACCTTTAAAATATAAGGCTTGCACTTCTGGTATAGGCTAGGGACACGTGGACACTATGGTCAACAGGAGATAGTAAGTACCTGTAATGCAGTAAAACTACCTCCTAAGGGTGGAGTCAGAGAAACCTGGATCCGAACCCAGTTGTGTACTACCTGCTGTTTCCAGGATGGATTTTCCCATCCATAAATTATAACAACAGAAGCTACCTTAGAAGATTGTGGTATTAAATGAGATAATGCATCGACATTTCTCTCTAACTCACCTAGCAGCACCTAGCACAGTGCCTGGCAAATATTTCTTAACTGACTAACACGTGATAAGGCACTTAGTCTGGTACATGGTAAGCCCTCGATAAGCATTTGTCATGGTTGTTTCTGATACTATTACTACAGTCATTGTGGAAGTTGGGGAGAGTAAAACTGAAAATTACCATTTGTGGGTGACAGCTTAATGGGAAGCTCTACCCTTGGTTATCAATATTCTTTTACGAGGACCCAGATTCAGGGAGACATTATTTGTTAGCTGAAACGATTTACTTTGATTACTCTACATCTGATTGATTCTAAACTTCTCTAGGTTACAAGTGACCAAACCACAGTGTAAACACTAGGATGAGAGGAATTATATTGCTCTAAAACCAGCCAATATCTAGGTTTCACGTATAACTGGAAAATCCAATCATGGCTACCACCATGGTATTTCATTCCAACTCTCTTACCCAGTAGTCCTGGAATGAGGCCCAAGTAAGCATGGTGTTTGTGCATATACTTGGGTCAGCCTGATCCCTCCTCACCTTCCAAATAAAAATAAATATTAGTTCTGAACTGTCCCTTTATCATTTTCTTGGGAAAACACATTTTAACCACAGGTCTTCAAAGCTGCAATCCAGTTCCTCTTCCCCAGGTCCCTAAACAGATTCTTGCTAATGTTTGCCCATTTCTTTCTTTCTCTTACTTTGTTGTGTCATCCCAGGCTGTCATGGTGTCCCTGCTGACAGATTATTCACCTCAGCTCCAGAAGCCAAAGTTCTGATGCAGTGATGTTTGTCAAAAGAGAAGCAACATCCTTCAGTGACCAAATGAGTCAGTTTATATGGAGGAAGGAGAAGAGAATCTAAGAAATAAACAAATCCTGATTCACAGTATAGGTGAATGATATGATATTGCTCTGCCATCGTGAAACCTTCCTGAAGGCCTTAATTTAAGGGCCAGTGCACTATAATACATGGATTGACTTGGTTTAAACTCTCTAATTCACAATTTCTGAGTTACATTGAGTATCATATTAATAGTCACATACATTTGCTTCAACTAAATATAAAATACTATGTTCATAATGCATAATGTCTAAGCCATTAAATGTAATCTATGCTTATTACCTTAATAAATTATCACCCACGCTAATTTATAAGTAAACATTTACCAGGCAGTCAGCCGCTGGTAGATCTGTGGGCTGTGTTTATATCCCTCAGGACCAACAAGGAAGCCAAATGATCAATCTTGCTGATGTAGTACAATTTTCAGGCAAATGAAGTAGACAGACATTCACTTATGGAGGCAAATGATGAAATTCTCAGAAAACAGTGATAACAGTGCCCAAACTCTGGAGTTTTTTCCAGGCATTTGTAGGAAGGAGGATTTCTCAAGAGAACACATTTCTTCTCTGTAACAAATACTTAATGTCAAAAGTCTGAAGAAGCCTTTGTGAACAAGTGGTAAAACCATGGAAACCTAGCTAGGAACATAAGATCCATTAGAGAGTGATATTTTCGTAGGTTCAAATTCCCCAGCAGGAGCGATTTAATTTTTTCATGTTTCTGCTTATCATGCATCTACTCACACCATACACTGGATAGGTCTATAAACCCACTGCTTGCCACATCTTAGTCCATTCTTTTCTCCCCAATTTCTGTTCTAGATAATAAAAATTTGCATCACTGGATTATTATAATGTAATTAAAGCTACATGCTTTTGTGGGTGACCCAAATATGTATTGTCCAATTATTATGATACAAATGGAAAATTTTTACTTAAAATGCTAAACAATGTAAATGGAACTGTAAGAAAATAATGTATTTTGCAGAAGACAAAAAAAAAAAAAAAGTAACTATCTTTACATTCCACCTCCACTATTAGAAGAATGTTTCCAGGCTGGTTGACAGATACTCTTCAGCAGAGAGCTAAGACTTAAATGAGTAAGAGATGAATTACAAATTAGATTTGCAATGAAGATGCAATAAAACATTTTCAGGGAAAAAAAAGCCTGGTAATGTTACAAGGGAAAAATCAAATTTTCTAATAAACGTCAAGGTTGACTTTCTCGTCTATGGTAATTTCTTGGGAACACTTAAGAAAGAAAGAGTGGAGTTTAATGGACTATCTTCTTTCAGCAGGGTATAGGAATGATTTAACCAGAAGCTGCCATGTGGACTGTGGAGGCTCTCCCTCAAACTGCCTACATACAAAGGCCATAATCCTGAGTATCCTTCCACTCTCTAAATGATAGCCCATGGTAATGACTTCTCTTCTCTTTACTAGCTACTCTCTGAACTACATGGAAGGTATAATCTTCTTCCCTCAATCAGAACTTCTAATCATTTTCTTGTCAAAATGTAGTCACTTTACCTCAAAGAGCCCCAAAATATTCTTTTTTTGTGTGTACACACAATTTAACATCTTTCTCAACCCAAACTTGTAGGAATTTATTTGCTTTCTTACCTTTTAATCTTAAGAAGACATAATTTATAATATTAAGAATAATGAAAACAGGGAAGGTTGATTTAGCCTTAATTTTTCCAAAGCCACTTTTTTTTTCCTCACAGCAAATTTGTCATATTTTATTTCCCACTGCCTTCTAAGGAAAGTAAATTCTGGTATTTCAAGGAACTTCTCTTTATTTTTCTCCCTGTATTGGTCATTTATTATGACTGTCATTGATGTATTTATTTTTATTTTATTTTTATTTTTTCATATTAAATATAATTTATTGTCAAATTGATTTCCATACGACACCCAGTGCTCATCCCAACAGGTGCCCTCCTC